TAGCGTTTTTGATTGTATTCCGGAATTAGGTTTTTGTATGTATGTTTTCGGAATCCGAAAACCGGGTACGGTATTGGACTAAAATTCCAGACACAGTTCGTTGTATTCCGGACATGATTATCAGATTCCGGACATGATTTTTGGATTCGAGACACGTTCCGGACTAGCAAAAATTAGGATTTTTGATAACAATGTATCATGTAATGTAAATGTATAAGCCTATGTAATCATATTATTGTCTTAACACGATTAAAATTTATAGAAAACCCTATAATACCTATATAATTGCGTAAACTAAACATTTTTAGCGTATAATCTAAAATAAATGCATTTAATTAGAAATAAATTTGAAACTTATTGCATTTTTTCCTTGCTATCAAAATACATTTTCAGTTGTAAAAGGTGTCCAGAATGAAAGATACGATAATCCGAAACAAGGGATATCGAAGTATAATCCGAAAAAGATTAATTGATATTTATAAGGGATATCTACCCATTTAACCGAATTTAAAATGGGGTCCGAAATTCCGCATTCGGAACCAAATGGTCATTTTGCTAAAAAAGTTATATTTCTTAAAAACAACCAAAAACAGGTTAGAAATATATTTCTTGTTTGTAATCTTATTGATAAAGGGGTTAATATATATATATATATATATATATATATATATATATATATATTATATATATATATATATATATATAGGTTCAGGTTTATTTGAGACCATTATAATTTTGTGATACCGTAAGACCAAATCTAAAAATAATTTTAAAATGCAAAATAAATGGAAAAATCCAAAAATTCTTTTTTTAAATTAGATTAGTTAAATATCTATTTTAAGTGGAATAAGGCTTTTAATAGACAATTGCTACATGTTTCCTTGTTTGGTCTTTATAACCCTGTTGCATGAGGAGTAGAGTGCGGCCAAAGTTTTGGTTATCATGGTGGATTATTGTGAAGGATAAGAATGATGTGGGGGTCGGGTGGAGGGTCCAAATTCATTCATATAATACTAAACGAGTTACTAGATATAAAACGTTAGAAAATAAAAGGGTTGAACTGATATTTTAAATAGACAAAAAACCAAATTTATACCTAAACATACATACAAAACAAGTAATTTTTTGGGTTAAATATAAAAAGTTAGAAAATAAAAGGGTTGAAACTGATATTTTAAAAGGTTCAAAATAGAAGGACTTAAAATAACATTTTACGAAATATTGGAATAAAAAATATCATTTTTGAAAGTTAAAAGAAGACAAGGGGTGGAAGTATATTTCTCAAAGTTGAGGGGAGGTAAATATGGTAACACCGACATTACCTTAATGTGGTAGTATAATACCTTTTTAACGTGAAAACCGTAAGATATATAGTTTCACGATCGAAGAACATACGCCTCCCTTTCTTCGTCGCCGAACTTCGGCCACCCACAGCCGCCCTTTCCCTCTCCAGAGAAAGGCTTTCAACTGGCCGAGTCACCTTTCACCGGAGCACCGTACCTCACCGTCTTTCCTAGAAGCAGAGTCGTGACTGCTAGCAGCCACGCCTAAACATTACAGGCCTCCAGTAAGTTTCAAACGAAACTTACTAGTAATTCCCTACACGGAAGAATATCGTTTTTATGTTGCGTTTTTCACTTGTGGTTCGCAGGGGAAGAAGAAGGAAGGGAACGCCGCCAGATACATCACCAGGTCGCAAGCTGTTAAGGACCTGCAAGCTATGCAGTTATCGCGGTCAAAATTTTCAATAGCGGTCACATGCCGTTATTTGAGATCGCGGTTATCGCGGTGGTATAGCGGTGATATAGCGTTTTTTTTAATATTACGGATAATTTATAATTTTATATTATATTTATATAGAAGTTATATATATTTGAGTATTAATACTATAAGTTTATATAGAATTAATATCATAAACCTAAAAAGTCATATAAAAACATAACATAATATTCTATTATGGTAATAAGGAAACTACGTAGTGTCAAAGTGTCAAATAGAGATTAATTGTATGCCCGTATTCAATATTGTATTAGTAGGTCATGGTTGATATAAAGAGTTAACTCCCAAGTCGTAGCCTCATAGGTGTGGTTCGATTTACAAAAAACATTAATGGAGTCCGACCATAGCAGCTCAAGTCGTCGTGAGTACAGAAAAAGATGATGAGAAAGAGAGTTGTCGGTAGACGTAGTTGCTTTGAATGCTTTTAATTATGTTAGTTGTTTGGGCATTTTAAAATGAAAGTGAAGTGAGATCATTAAAACTAGTTTTTCATTGACAAAGTAACAAAATGACCCTAAATGTGAATGAAAATGGAATAGCGCCCATAGCGCCGCTATAGCGGTTATTGAAATAGCGGTAAATAGCGGTGAATAGCGCCGCTAATAGCGGTACCGCGAAATGAAAACGCTAAGTTGAAAATAGCGGTTCCTGACCTCCGCAAAATGCTATAGCGCCGTTATAGCGCGCAATTGATAGCTTAGCCTGCAAGTCAGTCTTTCCGTGTTCAGGTATTAATTTGCTTTGAATCTTGGCGTATGTTGTAGATATATAGATGTGTATATATGAGGTGAGATAAGAAGCACAAAAGCTCATTAATGTTTGAATTTACAATCGACGTAGTTAAATGTATATTCATATTAGTGTTTTGAATGAGGATGTATAGAGAAGGAAGAATTTGAAGAAGTTTTTGTTGTTAAATGTATTGATTTATCTTCAATGAGCGCTTTTGAGATAAGAGGTGAAAAACCCTAGTTTGGAGTGATGATAAGAAGTCCATAACCCTAATTTGATGTCCTTTACTACCATGATCAAGGGTCTTATTGATTTAAAAAGCAAAACATGTAATAATGTGGATTTGAATAGTTACTCTCTTGTGTTGTGTATTTGATAGTTAAATATTTGGTACGTATACAATTCATAAGAGGTTCTATATTTTCAATTGTGTATATATACTCTAATAATCCAAATGTTTTGGTTGTTTTTGATTCAATAGGAAATTATGTATCTTCAAAAAAGTTTTTCCTCGAGACCCAAAGAAAAAAGTGAAGGGAAACCACCATACCTATTATCACATGAAAGATATTTTGGGTCTTAAACATGACCCACTTCTTGTCAAGTTTCGTGAGGCTAGGACATATGAGAAAAAGAAAAAGAAAGCAATGTCTAAGAAGAACAAAGATCTTGTTGAACGCGTGTCAACACACAAGCCTTCTTACACACTTGATAGGCCTATCCTTGAGAGGTTAGTGTCATATATATCTAACTTATACAACACTTTTTGTTGCATTTTCCTTTTGACTCAATGAGGACATTACTTAATCCGGTATGCTATATACCTATAGTATATAACTATATACCAGTCTTTCTTTTTTACTAAATGCAAAAAGAACGACTTGATAGAAAAGTAAAAAGAAGATTTTCCCAATTAAGTCGTAACTTTTTACAAATTTGACTTCAGGTATCCAACATTCATTGATGCATTAAGAGATTTGGATGATGGACTCACCATGGTGCATCTTTTTGCTGCATTACCTGCTATAGAAAGGGAAAACATTCAAGTAGAAAGAATCCATAGTTGTAGAGGGTATGTGTAATGTGTTCCCATATTTTGAATATCTAATTTTATATCTTAATGGTTTATATGTTTTAATTTCTTTAGGTTGAGTCTTGAGTGGCAAGCATATGTCTCTCGCACACATAAATTGCGAAAGGCTTTCATATCTGTGAAAGGCATATATTACCAGGTATAGAAATCATCACATGTATAAATCAATAAATTTGATGTTATGTAGAATGTAAAATTACCAATTTGCCCCTTTTAGGCAGAGGTTGAAGGGCAAAAAATCACATGGTTGACGCCTCATGCACTACAACAAGTAATGCCTCAAGATGTAGATTACAAGATCATGCTTACATTCTTGGAATTATACGAGGTTTGTGATAATGATCAAGCTTCTACCTTTCTTATGAATATTATATATCTTTTTGTTTTAACTCTTACTTACATATAAATTGATTAAATATGCAGAATCTCTTAGGTTTTGTTAATTTCAAACTCTACAATTCGATTAATTTGAAATACCCACCTATCCTTGATCCTCGACTGAAAGCTTCAGCTTCAGGTATGAATTTTCTATCACATCATAGAATATAGATTATTACTAGATATCATAAGGTAACTTAACTTTTTAAAAATTTGTACAGATTTATATGCTTTTACAAGGTATGTTGAAAATGTTGCTGATGAGAATGAAGATGATGAAGAAACAAGAGCATGTAAAACCCTTTTCAAAGACATGACATTCTTCTTGAGTCGTGAGGTAAATAAAGTCGATGTTTTTTTTTTGTTTTTTTTGTTGTTTTTTTTTTTTTTAAATTGAATAATTGCTTAGCCTTCAAGCTTCTTTCATCGTGTTAAAGTGAGTGTCGATTTTTTTTACTGGTTCCAAGAGAATCATTGCTTTTTGTGATTACGGCATTTGGTGGTGTGGTTTCATGGGAGGGAGATGGAGCTCCATTTGAGGAATCTAACCAGAGCATTAATTATCATTAATTATCAGGTATTTTATTATTTTATTATAAAAAAAAAATTCTTTTATATATTTCTTACTAATTATTAGTATTATTCTGATGTTTTATTTTTGTAGATTGTTGATAGGCCAAGTCAAAGTCACCGGTTTATTTCCAGAGATTATATACAGCCACAATGGGTCTTTGATTGCATAAATGCACGAATTATACTACCAACCGAAGACTATATTGTTGGGAAGTAAGTTTCAGTAAACACCCACCTTTTAATATATTAATTTTTAATAGAGTAAATTACATTTTTGGTCCCTAAGTATAGCTGATTTTTATAAAGTTGGTCCTCAAAAGTTTTTTTATCACAATTTTATACCTTATTTGAGGTTCTTATAATGTTTTTGGTCCCTTTTCACATAAAATGACCATCTTTGGTCCCAGATTATGGCTGGTTTTTGCAATTTTGGTGCCAAAAAGCGTTCTTTTACATTTTTGGTCCCAAAAAGTGTTCTTTAACAATTCTAATCCTTATTTGAGATTCGTGTAATGTTTTTGTTCCTTGTTCAAAGTAAGATGACTATTTTCGGTCCCAGAGTAGAGTATATCTGATTTTGCAAATAAGGTCCCAAATATTTTCTTATACATTTTTGGTCTTTTTTTCCTAGTAAAATGATTATCTTCGATCCCGGACTATAGCTGATTTTCGCAATCCTTGTCCCAAAAAGTGTTATTTTACAAATTTAGTCCTTATTTGAAGCTCTTGAAACATTTTTGTTCCTTGTTCAAAGTAAAACAGACATTCTTGGTCCTTGAGTAAAGCTGATTTTTGCAATTTGGTCCCAAAAAGTTTTCTTTCAGTTTTGGTTCTTATTTTAGATTCTTGTAACATTTTTGGTCTATGTTCCATGTAAAATGATTATTTTTGGCCTCAATATAGCTGATTTTTGCAATTTTGGTCCTAGAAGTATAATCATTTTACTTGGAACCTAGACCAAAAAATATTACAAAAAACTCAAATAAGGACTAAAATTTAAATAAAAAACAATACCCAGGGACCAAAAGATGATAATAGTTCTTAACATTGTCATTGTGTGTAAATCAGGGTTCTTCCACCACATTTGTCTCCATTTGTTGATAATGAAGCAGAAGGACATGAACCCGAGTATGCAGAGACCATTAAAAGGCATCAAGCTGCTGCTAGAAAAGAGATCCTCCCAATGCCAGGTGGCGAACAAGATGATCTTGATAATGCCCAAAATCTACTTGCTGAAGGCATCATCGATCGCACTAAAGCCAAAGAAGCTGCTGAAAGAAAAAGAAAGGTTCCTTTCCTCCTGCTTTACAAATTTACATTTTTGGTCCTTGTGCTTTGGTCATCCTCTCGGATTTGGTCCCCAAAAGAATCTTTCTTTCTTCTTGCTCCCTGTGTGATAACGCCTTACATTCCAATGATTGAATGAATAATTAATGATAAATTTTGGTATCTTTTCTTGATCGGCAAATGACCATTATGCCCTTGCATCCCAGAAAACTTATTTACGATATTCATTATATTTAGTGTGCTTAACCCCCGATAAACCCATTAAGTAAGAAAAGAAACAGCTCCTTAGTCTATGAGTTGGATGGTGCTGTGTGAAATGACGATTTTACCCCTTGGGGATGCAGATGGCGATGCTTCAAGAGGAGTATCATCATGAACTAAAAAAGGAACTGGAAGGGACAACACAACACACACCCGCTACAGCTGAAGAGGGCAAGAAGAAGAAAAAGAACGTTGATGATGAAGAAACGGAAGATGATGATCAAAATCTGCAGCAGTTTGCTGATGATAATGACAACATGTCAAAGGTTACCATGTCACGTAAAAAGAGGAGACTTTATGAAGCCATGAAGGTTAGTTTCAATTGTATATATCTCTTTTTTTTTTTAAATCAAGAAGCCCATCATATGTTTTGTTTATTTAATTTGTGTTTCTTTGTGTCCAGATTTCGCAAGAAAGGAAAAAGGCAAGTGTGGATACTCTCAAGACAAGGAAGAAAAATATTCAAAACTCCAAGAAAACATCATCTCACTGAAGCTGATTTAGAGATTCAAGGTCCTTAATTCCCTGCGTTTTTATAATCAAAGCAATGAATTAAATTTTGTAGGTATTGGCTTTTTTTACATGTTTTTATAACGGTGGATTTTTTTTTTTCTCAAAATTTGGTTTGTTTCTGGATCTGATGATATTCTTACTAAATCACATATGGTATGACTTTGAATTTGTTCTCTGTGAGTATTAATTTGTGTGTATGTTTTTCCCATATTATGTTTAACATCTTAGAAAAACTTACGATTTTAAAAGAATGTGAACCCATGTGATATTATGATTATTTTCTTCACATAACTATTTCCAATAGTATATGGGAGCTCTTATACCGTTGGAGTGAAATGTTTTTTGGTTAAGAATATCAACCACTTAATTTAGGCTATTGTTAAACCTCTCCTTTTCTTTTCTTCCTTTCTATGTTTGTCATTGCCATATCATTTTCACTCTCATTGCTTTCTTTCAACCTATATTATATTCGTTTTTCATCTTTCATTCTTTTTAATACAAATAATAAAAGTAAGTGTTAAGATAATTGCATTATTTCTTTAAATTAAAAAAATACAATAAAAAGTACGACAATGGTGAAAAAAGAGTATAACATAGATTGTAAATTTGATTGAAAATTGAGTGGAGATGATGTGATGCTGATGAGGGCATAGAAAGGAAAAAGAAAATAAAAATAGTGGTATAACAATAGTTTAAGTGGTTGATGTTATGAAAGATTGGTTATGCTTCTATCAGGAAAAATATGAAGGGGTTGAAGAAAACATACGGGGTTGAATTGAATGAATGAAAGCATATCATATTGTGCGATATGTATGGTTGTGGTGAAGATTCAAGAGAAAATAGATTATCAGAGGTGGAAGTGGGTGCGAGTATGGTTGTGGTTATGGTTGTGTTAGGAAGATGAGGTCGGCTACATGATGATAGCGGCGTTGTGAAAATTGAGGGACTTTGAAAATTCATTTTAGAGGTTAATAAGAGAGAAAATAAGAGAGTGTTGGCTGGGTGGTCTGAAAAAAATATATTAAAGTTTATGGGTATTATAAGAGGTATTATGTTTTCTTTTCAAAAAGTAAAAGAGGAAAAAAAAATGCAACGTTGTTCCACCCGGTGCAGTGGAAGAGCTTCAACATATGATTTGGAGGCCGAAAATATAATATGTATAAAAATCGGTGATCAAGGGGAACCACCGCCAAAATTTTATATTTTTCGGTCTAATATGTATAAAATGAAAATATAAGGGGCTATTTGTAACAAAAAAAATCAGGAGAAGGGGCCACAGCCCTCCTCGCCCTAATAAAGCTCCGCCCATGACCCGGTGGAGCTCTTGAGTATGGTCACCATCCTAGCCTATGTGGTGTTCCCGTCGGAACTAATTCTACATGTCGGGTGTGGTCCTTTAATAACACAAAACCTTATATTTTATATTTCACTTAATGTTTTTATAAGCTTAATGTTTGATGCAGTTAAGTCATTTTATTTAACAATTTCCATTTTATTCCCTTATTTTATTTAACGTTTAAAGTTTTATTATTTTTCATTAATTAGTTTTTATCATTTTAATCTCCGATGTTAAATATTAAATTCGTAATGATCATATGATAATTTTAATGTCTTTTATTGTATAAGTAGAAGTATAATAATTTTATCATCTTTTAGAAAAAAGATCCAATATATTTATCTTTTTCAGTTTTGTTTGTTTGTGCTATTTTATGGTTATAAAAGAAAGGTTGATGATGTTTGGTGTGTCGAAACATTTAACAACATGTATCGTAATCGATGCATTTAACAACAACGTCGCTCTACACCATGTATCGTAATCGATTTGTCACTCATGTCTGACAACATCAAAACAATTATTTTAATTCAATTTAGTCCTTTTTTTATTCAATTACATCTTCATGTTTCGAATTGGAGTTTCCTTATTTTTGTCACCCTTCAAAGTAATCGTGTTTTTTTTTTGTTACTGTTTTTTAATTAGGAAACCTTGATTCATACTCCAATGATGGACCAAATAAAAAGGTTGGTGTTATCTATGATGTTATTAACGATCTCAATAAGCCATATATTCATTCAATATGCCATTTTTTTAATTAGGGGAACCAACAATTTCTTGGGAAATGTCACCAAGATCCAAATCTACAAAATTAAAATGACAAACAACTTACTAAGTTAACAAGATTACAATACTTGTTGTTTAAAACCTCTTATTAAACATAATGTACATACCTTAAATGCACAGACAAATCCCTATAGAGTATATGTGTGTCTACTGCCGATTCTTTGCGCATTTGGGTTCAAATAGTCCTCAATCTTATCAAACACAACACGCATCTATTTGTAAGTGAACTCCATATCAATCTTCCCCATTGGTACATATGTCAAAAAATTACACTTAATAAGTATATATATTATTTTAATATAATGTAGGTAAAAAAAACTATATACCTGTTAAAAACTCTTATAAATTAGAGATGTGTGTCATACGTTCATTAGCAATTGGCTGTCAAAGGTATTTCTCAAAAAATCCTTGCTCTAGCATATACAACAGGGAGACTCTCACCACATCTTCATTACTTAATTGACGAAGTAAGTTATTGAACACGTGCGTAAGGCCAACCACACTCACCAAATGTGAAAGCGGCACAAATGGAAACATATGTTCTTTGAATTCTGCAAAACCAGAAGTTGGACGAAAATAATCCCGGAACTACAAGCCGGTAACCAAGTAGAATGCGTTCCTGTCTAAGTAAACTCAATAACCTCGAACCAGAAATAGAAGCTTTTCTAGGTCAACTGGATCAAAAGTAGTAACTTCGTTACACATAAGATAACAGCATAGTAAATGGTGACATTAGACACCTATCAACATGTTCACGTAATCAACAAAACATGATTGCTTAAACATCGCCCCACAAACTCGTCGGCTTTGTAAGCGCGCCATGATTTTGCGCCCAAGTTTAGGTATGCACGTTGTAGCAACAACCGCTTCGTATGTTATATCGTGTTGCAATCAAAAGAATTATTAATTAGGGATATTTGTATGTATGTTCCTGAGCGGAAATAGGGTTTTAATTGTATTCCGGAATTAGCGTTTTTGATTGTATTCCGGAATTAGGATTTTTGTATGTATGTTTCGGAATCCGAAAACCGGGTACGGTATTGGACTAAAATTCCAGACACAGTTCGTTGTATTCCGGACATGATTATCAGATTCCGGACATGATTTTTGGATTCCGAGACACGTTCCGGACTAGCAAAAATTAGGATTTTTGATAACAATGTATCATGTAATGTAAATGTATAAGCCTATGTAATCATATTATTGTCTTAACACGATTAAAATTTATAGAAAACCCTATAATACCTATATAATTGCGTAAACTAAACATTTTTAGCGTATAATCTAAAATAAATGCATTTAATTAGAAATAAATTTGAAACTTATTGCATTTTTTCCTTGCTATCAAAATACATTTTCAGTTGTAAAAGGTGTCCAGAATGAAAGATACGATAATCCGAAACAAGGGATATCGAAGTATAATCCGAAAAAGATTAATTGATATTTATAAGGGATATCTACCCATTTAACCGAATTTAAAATGGGGTCCGAAATTCCGCATTCGGAACCAAATGGTCATTTTGCTAAAAAAGTTATATTTCTTAAAAACAACCAAAAACAGGTTAGAAATATATTTCTTGTTTGTAATCTTATTGATAAAGGGGGTTAATATATATATATATATATATATATATATATATATATATATATATATATATATATATATATATAGGTTCAGGTTTATTTGAGACCATTATAATTTTGTGATACCGTAAGACCAAATCTAAAAATAATTTTAAAATGCAAAATAAATGGAAAAATCCAAAAATTCTTTTTTTAAATTAGATTAGTTAAATATCTATTTTAAGTGGAATAAGGCTTTTAATAGACAATTTGCTACATGTTTCCTTGTTTGGTCTTTATAACCCTGTTGCATGAGGAGTAGAGTGCGGCCAAAGTTTTGGTTATCATGGTGGATTATTGTGAAGGATAAGAATGATGTGGGGGTCGGGTGGAGGGTCCAAATTCATTCATATAATACTAAACGAGTTACTAGATATAAAACGTTAGAAAATAAAAGGGTTGAAACTGATATTTTAAATAGACAAAAAACCAAATTTATACCTAAACATACATACAAAAACAAGTAATTTTTTGGGTTAAATATAAAAAGTTAGAAAATAAAAGGGTTGAAACTGATATTTTAAAAGGTTCAAAATAGAAGGACTTAAAATAACATTTTACGAAATATTGGAATAAAAAATATCATTTTTGAAAGTTAAAAGAAGACAAGGGTGGAAGTATATTTCTCAAAGTTGAGGGGAGGTAAATATGGTAACACCGACATTACCTTAATGTGGTAGTATAATACCTTTTTAACGTGAAAACCGTAAGATATATAGTTTCACGATCGAAGAACATACGCCTCCCTTTCTTCGTCGCCGAACTTCGGCCACCCACAGCCGCCCTTTCCCTCTCCAGAGAAAGGCTTTCAACTGGCCGAGTCACCTTTCACCGGAGCACCGTACCTCACCGTCTTTCCTAGAAGCAGAGTCGTGACTGCTAGCAGCCACGCCTAAACATTACAGGCCTCCAGTAAGTTTCAAACGAAACTTACTAGTAATTCCCTACACGGAAGAATATCGTTTTTATGTTGCGTTTTTCACTTGTGGTTCGCAGGGGAAGAAGAAGGAAGGGAACGCCGCCAGATACATCACCAGGTCGCAAGCTGTTAAGGACCTGCAAGCTATGCAGTTATCGCGGTCAAAATTTCAATAGCGGTCACATGCCGTTATTTGAGATCGCGGTTATCGCGGTGGTATAGCGGTGATATAGCGTTTTTTTTAATATTACGGATAATTTATAATTTTATATTATATTTATATAGAAGTTATATATATTTGAGTATTAATACTATAAGTTTATATAGAATTAATATCATAAACCTAAAAAGTGATATAAAAACATAACATAATATTCTATTATGGTAATAAGGAAACTACGTAGTGTCAAAGTGTCAAATAGAGAATAATTGTATTGCCCGTATTCAATATTGTATTAGTAGGTCATGGTTGATATAAAGAGTTAACTCCCAAGTCGTAGCCTCATAGGTGTGGTTCGATTTACAAAAAACATTAATGGAGTCCGACCATAGCAGCTCAAGTCGTCGTGAGTACAGAAAAAGATGATGAGAAAGAGAGTTGTCGGTAGACGTAGTTGCTTTGAATGCTTTTAATTATGTTAGTTGTTTGGGCATTTTAAAATGAAAGTGAAGTGAGATCATTAAAACTAGTTTTTCATTGACAAAGTAACAAAATGACCCTAAATGTGAATGAAAATGGAATAGCACCCATAGCGCCGCTATAGCGGTTATTGAAATAGCGGTAAATAGCGGTGAATAGCGCCGCTAATAGCGGTACCGCGAAATGAAAACGCTAAGTTGAAAATAGCGGTTCCTGACCTCCGCAAAATGTTATAGCGCCGCTATAGCGCGCAATTGATAGCTTAGCCTGCAAGTCAGTCTTTCCGTGTTCAGGTATTAATTTGCTTTGAATCTTGGCGTATGTTGTAGATATATAGATGTGTATATATGAGGTGAGATAAGAAGCACAAAAGCTCATTAATGTTTGAATTTACAATCGACGTAGTTAAATGTATATTCATATTAAGTGTTTTGAATGAGGATGTATAGAGAAGGAAGAATTTGAAGAAGTTTTTGTTGTTAAATGTATTGATTTATCTTCAATGAGCGCTTTTGAGATAAGAGGTGAAAAACCCTAGTTTGATTACTCAAACTCAATAGCCAATAGATTAATCGAGTTTTGAATATCTCATAGGTATTCAACGAAGAGCATTTGTAAAATAAAACCACATTAAGCATCAACATTTGATACCAACCACCGGGCAAAATATGGAAGTTATGAAATAGTTTAAGGACTGTTTCTGTAACTTATCTCAAAGTTATATGGTGTCGAGTCTTTTGGTTCACTTCTTGCGCTTCTTTCTTGGTGTTCCCTCCGATCGCGCCTTCCGCCAGATCTCCGCCCCATTTTACCAACAATCAAAACCCTCAATTGGAGTCGACACCGCTATATAAACCCTAACGATCTAGAGAGAGAGAGAGAGAGAGGCGGACAAGGTATCTCCATCACCTTCGCCTTGATCTCCGTCGAAGCGTTTTAAACCTAGTCACAAGTAAGCCAGTTTATGTTCAAGTTTCAGTTCTCATGATTTAAGGTTGATTTTTTTTAGTGAGAATGACGCTAGTTGTTTATATAATATATTCAATCGTGTTAGTCCGATTTCGTATGGTTCAGAACATATGTAGCCTATAGTGAAAACTAGTGAAGAAAAAAGCTCAAACGAAACAAAGGGAAATTTTTTTATTAGTATAATTACGTAAAGTTCTTCATAAGATTACTATCGAGTTCTGATTGTGCCCGTTTGTTTAATCTACTTATGTTTAGTTTACGTGCTTCATTGCAGTTCAGACTTCAAAGGGGGGTGATTGGCTGCTAACTAGATTGGAACTTGAGTTGTTAATTAACAAGAGAGATGACAAGGTTTCATGTCAATGGAAAAGTTGTTGATACTGTTGATTTGCTGAGGAAGAGACACTGGCCATGGCGATTTGATTCATGGCCATTTGCCGTACTTTATGCTACTTGGATGATTGTTATCATACCCAGTTTAGATTTCCTTGATGCCTTCATAATTTTTGGAGGTTTGGTTGTTCTCCACATATTGGTGATCCTCTTTACTGTATGGTCTGTGGATTTTAAATGTTTCGTTCAGTATTCAAAGGTTTGTGTCTTTCTAAACTATTTTTCAATGTAATTTCTTTCTATAGTTCAGTTCACTTAACATCACATTCTTAAAGAAACTATAATGCTCCTTTGTCAGGTTAATGATATTCATCTTGCAAATGCATGCAAAATCACTCCAGCCAAATTTTGTGGTGCTAAAGAAGTAGTACCACTACATTTCCGGAAGGTTATAAACTCAACTTATATCACTTATTAAATAATCATTATCTTTTTATCATCTGTATCAACATAGACATCAATATGTTTTTGTTTATATCAGTTGGCAGGCTCTTCAACAGAGGAGATATATTTTGATTTCAGAAAGCAGTGTTTCATCTATTCAAATGAGAAAAACACTTTCTGTAAGCTTCCTTACCCTTCCAAAGAATCTTTTGGGTATTATCTCAAAAGCACTGGACATGGTACTGAAGCTAAAGTTCAAGTTGCTGCTGAGAAATGGGGACGCAACGTGTAAGTTTCTTCAATTTTATGCTTTTTCCCTTGTCACTAGTGATATCAAGTTATCAACTCACATTTCTTATTATCTTATCAAAATCTTTTTATAGATTTGAATATCCACAACCAACATTCCAGAAATTAATGAAAGAACACTGCATGGAGCCCTTCTTTGTATTTCAGGTCCATTTAATCATCAATGAAAGACACCTTTAACATGTGCTTTTGTTTAACTTTTTTTCTCAATAAAGCTATCCCCTTTAAACTGCAGGTTTTCTGTGTGGGACTTTGGTGTCTAGATGAGTATTGGTATTATAGTCTTTTCACCCTCTTTATGCTGTTTATGTTTGAGTCAACAATGGCCAAAAGTCGGTTGAAGACTTTATCAGAACTTAGACGTGTGAGAGTAGATTCTCAAGTGCTAATGGTGTATCGTTGTGGGAAGTAAGTTATTATCTATTCATCTTTACAAATTACAATCTACAAATTACAACTTACAAGTTTTAGTTTTCTTGACACTTTCTTTGTTGACTTATGTTGACTTTGGTTTTTGACAGGTGGACAAAGGTAGCAGGAACAGAGCTTTTGCCTGGTGATGTTGTGTCCATTGGTCGTGCTGCTGGTCAAGATGGAGAAGAAAAATCTGTCCCTGCTGACATGCTTATCCTAGCTGGCACTGCTATTGTAAATGAAGCAATCCTAACTGGCGAATCCACCCCTCAATGGAAGGTGATTCTCTTTCTTGAAATTTGCTTCCTTATTTCAAGAAAAGGGTTTATACTTTATACTTTATAATATTTCTCTACTTTATGTATACAAATGACATGTTTTTTCAGGTTTCAATAATGGGAAGAGGACCTGAAGAGCGTTTGTCATCTAAACGAGATAAAAACCATGTTCTTTTTGGTGGCACAAAGATACTGCAGCATACTCCTGATAAGGTTTTTTACACATTGCATTAAATAAAATCCATTTTTATTTTAATTTTCAGTCTAAAGTTTTACTCTTTTGTAATTTATTTCAGACCTTTCATATGAAAACTCCCGATGGTGGCTGTTTAGCAATTGTTTTAAGAACTGGATTTGAGACAACTCAAGGGAAACTCATGCGGACTATTTTGTTTTCAACCGAGAGGGTAATTCCGTAATTTTGGTACATTTTTATCACCGTTTGTTTGATAATTATATAATTGTATATATATCTTTTAATGTAGGTTACTGCTAACAGCTGGGAGAGTGGGTTCTTCATTTTGTTTTTAGTTGTTTTTGCAATTATAGCAGCTGGATATGTTCTAAAAAAGGTATAAAGCTCTCAACTGGGTGATGAAAATCGACATCTATTAGTGTTTTAAAGGTGTGGTGAAGGTTATAACCGTAATTTTTTCATGATTTAGGGGCTTGAGGACCCAAACAGGAGTAGATACAAGCTTCTTCTGAGCTGTTCTTTAATTATAACATCTGTGATTCCCCCTGAATTGCCAATGGAGTTGTCAATAGCTGTTAATACCTCATTGATTGCATTAGCAAGACGTGGTATATTTTGTACAGAGCCTTTTCGTATACCATTTGCTGGGAAGGTCAGCATTAACATTTATTTTTTTGTGGTAAAAATTAAAATTGTATTGTTAGTCCCTGTGGTTTCTTCATTTTTATGGGTTTGCTCCAGTTTGTTTGATATTTAACTTCTGGTTCCCCAAATAATAGTTTCTTCACACTTGAAGTCCTTGACTTAGACACCAATAATAGATGGATGTTAAATGCATGTAAAAATGACCATTTTGTCCCCCATGGCTTTATGTTTTAGCATGTCTTTTAGCTTCTAATACATGTATATTTTGGTAAATTACAGTTTTCTAACTTGTGTGTTTGTTGATTTTTAACTTCTGGTCCCTGAAATGTTGCTTCGTTGTATCTTTAGTCCCTGACTTTGACACTGTCAATAGCTGGATGTTAAGTGCGTGTAAAATGACCATTTCGCCCCAGTTTCTTTGCTAGTTTGATCATAAACCTGGGATTAAGTCTTTTAGCTTATACTACATGTTTTTTTAAGCAAATGACATTTTTAGTCCACGTGGTTTGTCGGTTTTTACGGATATGGTCCAATATTTCGATTTTTAGTCCCTAAAATGCAATTTAGTCATGCTTTTAGTCCGACTTTGACACCCTTAATTGATGGATGTAAAATGACCAATTTGCCTTCCATTTCTTTGCTATTATGATCATATAGTAAATCTTTTGCAGGTTGATATATGTTGTTTCGACAAGACGGGAACATTGACATCTGATGACATGGTATTTACAATTCTGCCATTCATGGTAAAATTTCCATTTCCAGTCCCCCATTCATGTTTTTTTTTTTTTTTTTTGCAGGAATTCTCTGGAGTTGGTGGACTGAGTGCTGATTTAGATCTTGAAACAGACACTAAAAAAATCCCAACTCGAACTTTGGAAATTCTTGCTTCTTGTCATGCACTTGTTTTTGTGGACAACAAACTGGTATATAAAATATTATAATAATTATAATCTCAAATTATATTTTTCACTTTCTAGTTGTGGCCTATATATATTTATATTTATACCATTGCTTTTAGGTTGGTGATCCTCTTGAGAAGGCTGCAATCAAAGGGATAGAATGGAGCTACAAATCTGATGAGAAGGCCATGCCTAAGAAGTAAGCTGTTATCAATGAAATTAAACCCTAATTAACATTTTTTTTAAAAAAATATATAAATGGTTGAAATTAATTAATAATCTTTTTTTTTTTTTTACAGGGGAGGTGGTAGTGCAGTTCAAATCGTTCAAAGGCATCACTTTGCATCTCACTTGAAAAGAATGTCAGTTGTTATTCGTACAGAAGAACAATTTTTTGTGTTTGTGAAGGTATTTAAAATGTTAAATACATAATATATTATGGTGTTTTCAGTTTTATTAAAATTTTAAATGGTGTTTGTTTTAGGGTGCACCAGAGACCATTCAAGAAAGATTAAGTGATATACCCTCGTTTTATATAAACACCTACAAGAGGTACACACGTCAAGGCTCTCGTGTCCTTGCTTTAGCATATAAACCACTTCCTGATATGACGGTAAATATTCTTTCGTATTTACTATTTTGCCCTTTTGAGAATCCCTAGTTTTCACTTACACAACAATCAGCTTCTTTGTTATAGGTGAGTGAAGCTAGAAACTTGGACAGGGAAGTAGTGGAAACTGGACTCACTTTTGCTGGTTTCGCGGTATAAATATTAAATTATTCGACTTTTTGTTTTTTTAAAAAAAAAGTTTTTTAACATGGTTTCATTTTTGTTATATAAATAAACTTCAGGTATTTAATTGCCCTATCAGAGCAGATTCTGCTACTGTCTTGGCTGAATTGAAAAAATCATCACATGACTTGGTAAGTATCACCGAGCGAAAAGTTATTTGTTAGAATACAAGGGTAAAATGGTCATTTACTCTCACTTAATGAATTTTGCATTAGGTTATGATTACGGGTGATCAAGCATTGACTGCATGTCATGTTGCTCGTGAAGTTAATATAATCTCAAAACCAGCTTTGATTCTTGCTCCAACAAAGAACAAGGAACGATATGAATGGGTTTCACCAGATGAAACGGAAGTTGTGAGCTACAGGTAACAAGAAATAGCGATGTACTTTCATTCATTTGCTTTTTATAGCATCCTACTTTTATTTTTTTTCAAAGTACAATGCTTTAATAAGAAAACACATTATCCACTTTCTGTTTACACAGTGAGGAAGAAGTTGAGGCTTTAGCAGAGGATCATGACCTCTGTATTGGAGGCGACTGCTTTGAAATGTTGCTGCAGACTTCTGCTGTTGTTAAAGTCATTCCATATGTGAAGGTTGTGAAACTTTTTTTTTTTTTTTTACTAAATTACGACTTTGGTCCCTGTGGTTTACTGTATTTTTCGGTTTTGGTCCGGGTTATGTTTTTGTATCAGTTTGTTTCCGATATAGACCATGGTTGTTGAGTTTAACAACTCAGTTTAGCTTTTTTCAAAATGACCATTTTGCCCTTGGACTAAAGCTGGAAAAATAGTATGATACAGGGACCAAATTTGTAATTTTTTTTTTCAAAAACTTTTTATATGAAGCTGTTTAGCTAAAAAATCAACTTCAATTATCAGGTATTTGCCAGGGTGGCTCCGGAGCAAAAAGAGTTGATAATGACAACTTTTAAATCATCCGGGAGAGTAACTTTGATGTGCGGTGATGGTACTAATGATGTTGGAGCTTTGAAACAGGTAATGCAAGAAATAGCAATTTACTTTCATAGATTTTGTTTGTTAGTTAAGAGTAAATTACAATATTGATCCTTCTTTTGATGTTTCTTTCATATTGGCCCCTGAATTGTGAAATTCTAACTACTCAGCTGTTAAATGTTTTTTCTTACAAACCAATTTCTTTTGAAACCAAATTCGAAGAAAACATCCAAATTCAGGGACCAAAATTGTAAAATTAACATTATTAACTATCATAACCATCTGTTGATGTTTATTTGTGGTTTTCAGGCACACGTAGGAGTAGCACTACTAAACGCAATACCTCCACCAAATCCCGACAACAAACCAACACCCGAAACAAAACCCACCACCAAATCAAAAAAACCAAAACCCACCACCGAACCAAGCTCCAGCACCACCATCACCGCCACTCCAACCGCCTCCAACCGCCATCTAACACCCGCCGAAGTCCAAAGACAGAAGCTAAAGAAGCTAATGGACGAACTAAACGAAGGAGACGACGGTCGTTCCGCTCCCGATAGTCAAACTAGGCGACGCCTCCATGGCCTCACCATTCACCGCCAAGCATGCCTCCGTCTCCCCCACCACCGACATCATCCGCCAAGGCCGGAGCACCCTCGTCACCACCCTCCAAATGTTCAAAATCCTCGGCCTCAACTGCCTCGCAACCGCCTACGTCCTAAGCGTCATGTATCTCGACGGAGTCAAACTCGGCGACATCCAAGCCACCATCTCCGGCGTCTTCACCGCCGCGTTCTTCCTCTTCATCTCCCACGCGCGCCCACTCCCGACACTCTCCGCGGAACGCCCCCACCCCCAACATCTTCTGCTACTACGTCTTCCTCTCTCTCCTCGGCCAATTCACCTTCCACATCCTCTTCCTAATCTCATCAGTTTCCGAAGCTGAAAAACACATGCCTGAGGAATGCATAGAACCGGATTCGGAATTCGAGAGTAATTTAGTGAATACGGTTTCTTACATGGTGAGTATGATGATACAGGTGGCGACGTTTGCGGTGAATTACATGGGGCATCCGTTTAATCAGAGTATTAGCGAGAATAAACCGTTTAAGATTGCGCTTTTGGGAGCGGTTGTGTTTTTTACAGTGATTGCTTCGGATTTGTTTCGGGATTTGAATGATTGGTTGAAGTTGGTGCCGTTGCCAAGGGAGTTGAGGGATAAGCTTTTGATTTGGGCGGTTTTGATGTTTGTTGGGTGTTATAGTTGGGAAAGGTTTTTACGCTGGGCGTTTCCCGGGAAAATGCCTGTGGTTAAAAAGTTAAAGTTAATCGATGGTCAGAAAAAGTCGCAGTGAGTTAAAGTTATCCAGTTTTTTTACTTTTACACAGGGTTTTTTTTTCAATATTTTGGAGTTTTGGTTGGGTAATTTGGATTGATACGAAGCTATCATTTGTTATCGATGTATTTTTAGATGATGAGAGTATTTTAACATTATTTCTAGCGTTTTCTTTTTATCAAGACAAAAAGTAGTTTATTGACGAGTTGATTATAGTTTCTTTGTATTTTGGAAATAAAAGTCTCGACTAGCTTTTGTGTAAAACTAATGATTTTGCTTCGTATCTGTGGGTGAGGTAATGAGAATTAGGGTAAATTGCAGTTTTGGTCCATTTGGTTGTCATTTGTCTACAGCTTCTTGAAAAGTTGATACGCTGTTTTTTTTTTTTTTTGGGTGTCTGTGTGTTATGGAGTCCAATAATTTTCTTTTTTGAAATATATGAAAATTATTTTGGAAATTTCTAATAAAGTTTACGGTTTAATTTCAACTATTATTTTTTGAAACATAATTATTTTATATTTTGTTCAAATTAAAAAAACAATTCTTATTTTTTTTCTACATAAAATGATAAATTATCATATCAAATTAGAATTTTCTTTTTAAAAAATAAATGTTGAATTAAACATTAAAATGATCAAAGTTAATGGCATCCGCTTTGAAAAAGAGTTATTGTATTGATATGAATGGTAAGACAAGTGGTAACATTGCGCTGACCGGTTCTTGCAAAGGAAAATTACAAGTCCCCATAAGCATATTTCAAAGCCACATAATCACTTATCTTTTAGATTATGAAAGCATTGCGAAGGCATTCTCACAATTTATTAAAGTTCATCCTTTACTATTTTATATTTCCAAATTAGATTTAATTATATAAGGGGCTGGGCATCACCTGGAAAAAAGAAAGAAAAGATAATAGAAGGAGATTCTTGTGTGTAGCTGCGACTTATCTCCCCAAGTAAGGCGTGGTGGTGTTTGCGTGTTATAACTCGAGTCACATCTAGGGGCGAAGTTCATTTTTTTTCCCTCTTTTTTCTTTTACTTATTTAACCTCCAAACAATTAACCTTTGCGGGAAAATATCAAAATTTCACACATAATTACAAAAATGTAATATTATCTTGCGAGATATTAACGATAAATAAAATAAAATCTCCATCTTTTATTTTTCAATCCTGCTGTAAAAAGTTGTCATCGCAGTCTTTATTTTTGAATTCTCACTCGATCCAATATATATATATATATATATATATATATATATATATATATATATATATATATATATATATATATATATATATATATATATATATATATATATATATGTTATTGAAAAAGTTAACAACCCTCAAATGAAACTTCTCTCTAGCTTCCAAGAGTTGACTTTATTGTTTTAAATGTTTCCAAATTTGAGCCATTTCATATCTTCGTTTGATTTCTGCCGGAAACTTAAGTTGACTTTCTCTTTGATCTATAGAATTGAAGAACAAAAAGATGATGAATGACAAGGTGAAAGCTTTGATGATTGGAGTTGTAGGTGCATGAATTACACTTTCTGCTTATTCACAAACATACATGACTCCAACTCAATGTATCGGCACCGGCCTTGTTATATTAATTGTAGGACTTTTTGTCGGGGAAGGTATCCTTCCGGTCTAATTTACCCTTTTTTGTTGTTCATCAGAAAGATTGTTTTTGATCCTTCACATATATCTGTGTATCTGTGGAGGATCCAAGAAAAAAAGGACTTGTGTCACGGATATCCGGATCTAGATCCGTTGTAGTTTATCTTTTTGTATTTCTTTAATTTGTAACCTTCATGGTGAATCAAGATCCCTAAAAGGATACTCATGGAATTAAATTATTATTTTTCTTTTTCTAGTTGTATAATAACCGATGATAAATTTTAATTGTCTTTGGTCATAGGTAATTTTCATTTTGGCTATAAACTTTAGTATAATAAAAATACAAACAATTGGAATTGTTCATTTGTTTGGGTACCCGAATTCTATGTTTCTTATTGATAATAGAGTTTGTTTTGAGTTTGAAGATTCATACGAACTTTTAGTTTTAGAATTGATGAATGACACAATTTTCCAAGATGGGAATGAGATTATACTCCGTATAATCACAAAAGAAGATATGTGAATCCGAAGGAAATCTACCTGCAACTCGAAACTGATACACATAACAGACGACATGAGACACCAATGATTGTTTTCCATCCTAAAATCTTGTACTTTCTATGAAAGATCTCTTGCGGATTCATGCCCAAATCCTAACATCTGGATTGCATTCCCACAGACATGTGATTCGTGAAATCACCCGATTTTGCACTTCAAAGCACTTTGGCAGCTCAAGTTATGCAAGGCTTGTGATTCAACACTCCGAAATTTCTAAGCCTTCGTCATCGAACAATGTCATCAGGGTTTGTACCACCAGGAAAGGAAACAATGGGGATTTGTATAGAGAAAGAGAAACCATATTGAATTTCAAACAGATGCATTCTTCACATATTAGACCCTTTGAGCTTACATACGCTTCTGTATTTAAAGCTTGTGCCTCGATGTTGGCCTTTGAAGAAGGCCGGCAGATCCAAGTCAACTGCCTGAAACGTGGTTTGGATTTCGATGTCTATGTGCGGAACACCATGATTCATTTCTATGCGTCTTGCAAGAAGATCATTAACGCACGACAACTGTTCGATGAAATGTCGTACAGAAGTGTTGTTTCTTGGAACACTATCATTTCTGCTTTCTTTCATGTCTCGTGGTTCTATGAATCAATACTGTATTATACAAAGATGAGAAACATTGGGATCGAGCCAGATGGAACTACAATGGTGGTGATGCTCTCTGTTTGTGCTGAGCTTGGGAACTTGACAATGGGGAAATGCGTTCATACTCAAACAATTGCAAAAGGATTAGAACTTAATTGTCAATTAGGAACATCACTCGTTAACATGTATGCCAAATGTGGGGCTTTAAATTATGCACATTTAGTGTTCGACAAAATGCACAATCGAAATGTGTGGACATGGAGTACAATGATTCAAGGATTAGCCCAACATGGATTCGCTACACATGCTCTAACACTTTTCGAGAAAATGGAACTCACTAAAATCCAACCTAACCATGTGACATTTCTTGGGGTTCTTTCTGCTTGTAGCCATGGTGGATTAGTGAAAGATGGGTATCGATTCTTTAAACAAATGAAGGGCGTTTTTGGAATTAACCCTCGGATGACACACTATGGTGCAATGGTGGATGTTTTAGGAAGATCTGGTTGCCTCAATGAAGCATATGATTTCATTTTGAAAATGCCAATTAAACCTGATCCAACTGTGTGGAGGACTTTGTTGAGTGCATGTAATGTTCATGGTGGAAATGACTTTGATGGAGTTGGTGAAAAGGTTAAAAAAAGATTACTTGAATTGGAGCCAAAGTGGAGTGGCAATTTGGTAATTATTGCAAATAGATATGCGAATGTATGCAAATGGGAGGAGGTAGAAAAAGTGAGGAAGAGTATGAAGGTTAAAAAGATGGTTGGAGAGAGTTGTATTGAAGTAAAAGGTTCCACCTTTAGATTCTTATCGGGATATGTTTGTAAAGCTTCTTGTGTGAATATTTACTTGTTATTATATGGTTTGAATTTGAACATGAAGATTAATGATCCATAATTTGGTCCATTAGTGCCTTTTTGACAATTTGACTCAATGAGCTTAATAGATTTAGGACTTGATATGGACAATTATATACGACTGTTTCTTTTTTACTTAATCGGGACATAATGATTTAGTTTAAGCCGAAAAAGCTTTTAAAACACTAATGTGAATTGATGTTTTTATTTGTTCACAATGTCTATAATTGATGAATATTAGGAAATTGTTTTGTTTGAATATAAAGGTAAAAGTTATGTATACTCACATTTGATATTCATAAATCATATATTGGGTGGGCCCATTCAGCATCTACCCGGTTTTTTATATCAATGCTATTCATGTTTTTTTCCTTGAATCTCATATCCACGTTTTCATATTTTTAAAGACTTCATGTAGAATAGGACAAAAGGTTTCCTTTGTTTGTCCTTTGTGTGTAAACTTACTATACCTAATCACATTAAAGAGTAAGTTACACATTGGTCCATGAGTGTGGTTGATTTTACAATTTTGGCCTAAAAAAGTTTCATCTTGAAGTTTCGGTTATTATTTGAGGTTTTGTAACGATTTTGGTATTTTTTTCCAACAAGATGACTATTTTCTAAAAAAAAAAAACTGCTAAAATCAGCACAAAAAGTAGTCATTTTATGTGGATTAGATACCAAAAATATTACAAAAACCTTAAATGAGGACCAAAACCGCAACACAAACCTTTATAGGATTGAAACGTCAAAATTACCAAACATGGAGACCCAAAATATAATTTACTCTACATTATTTTTTTGATCGACATGGAAACGTCAAAATTACCAAACATGGAGACCCAAAATTACCAAACATGGACCTTCTCCAGTTAGGTAGAAAATGGAAACCACCTTTTCACAAAATGTGTTTTTGCTACAATGCAAAAAGTCAATTCTTCACATGTGGTCTGCCCAATTTGTATGTCGTCCTATACTTTTTTATGAGGAAGATAGTATGGAAGATGTGATGCATTAAATGTTTTCGACCGTACACTAGCTTTGGTCTCAAACTGATCATCATAATCTAAGACCGCACAGTATGGGTTATAACGAGAAAGGAAGATGCTGACCTGGATGCCCACAACGCCGTCATAACCAGGGGAACACTGCCCCCAACTTGTTGCATCTCGTCGTGGCGTATCTCGTTGGCGTTGCGACGAATTGAAACGGCAAGATTTTAGAGGGAACACCAACTTTTTTTTTTTTTTCGTCTTTTTTTTTTTCCTTTGATGACAGGAGAACAAGAATTTCAAAAAAATAAAAAATAAAAAATAAAACATATTTTTTTTTCAAAAAGTTGGTGTTACATCTTGTTGTCTATTTTCCCACTTGATGTTATAACACAACTTACTTATGTGACATGTGAAGTGACACAACTTGGTGTTGCACCTTCTTGCCCACACCCAATGCTCTAATATCATTGTTACCACATTCCACATCGATACCATCTTACAAGTTACATCCATGTCATTTTTATCATAAAAGTATGGTTTCTTTGCTACACACTAAGGTGCCGTTTGTTTTTTTTAATAAAATCTCTTCAAACCACTTTCTGCTGCACGACGCAACACACGCGCAACACTTTTCCCCTTGCAGCAGTTTGTTTTTTTGAAAGTTTTCAGACTACAAAACCTCTGTGCGTTTGTTGCATGGCAAAACACTTGACTTGCATCTTCAAACCTCTTCAACTTTCATTTTTTCCAAGTGTTTTTTTTAGAATTTTGATATAACTTATTATTTTTTTTTTAACTTTTATTTACGGATTTCATACAAGTTCTTTATATAGTTTCCATATTTTTTTTTAACTTGATTTAAAAAAAAACTTTGATTTTTTTAATTATTTTACCGTTTCTGTTAATAATATTTTCAGTTTCAGTTGTATCATTTTTAACGTGTGCAATTTTTTACGAACTTTGTAGACATCGTTTGCAATACTTTATTTATTTTTTATTATTATTATTTTTTTTATGTTTTTAATTTTTTTTTTCTAGAATAAAAATGTTAGCTTCTTTTATATTTTTTAAAGTTTTTTTTAAATGTTTATATTTTTGTTTTTTTACATGTTCTTTTTAGTATTCTGTCAATATTTTAAGACTAAAATTATTAAAATTCTGGTGTTGAGAACTATTTTCAGTTTATAAAATCAGTTTATTTAAATTTCAGTTTACTGCAGCAGTCTGCAGATGTTAAAAAACAAACATGCTTCTTATTATATGTTTCAGCCGTTTGTTGTACCTCTTCTGCTACAGAGAATTGCAGAGGTGGTCCGCAGACTTCATGAATTTTCGCTTAAAAAAAACGAACAACACCTAAATGTGGATACAATGACAAACATATATGTATATATATAATTTTATAAAACAATTTAATGATAAACATAAATTTCATTATTTAAAAAGAAACATAACGTTTCATTACTTAAAAATACATAACATAAGATTAAAAAAAACTCTTAAACACTTACAAAATAAAATAACTAGAATTTTTAAACCTACAAACGTAAAAAAAAAACACAACAAACGATTAAAAAACTAATTAACATAATGTTTTTTAACGTCGACTTTCATTGCCAAAACAATTTTAACCTCATCCCCAACCATGTGACTTGTGGAGCGTTAGTAGTTTCATGTCATTACCCCTTTGTTTTCTACACTCTTTTTCGGAAACAATTTGCAAAAAATTGTCCATTTTTTCTATAACATCCGTCACTTGAGGTAATAATTATTTAATATATTTGTAACTAATTGTTGGGCTATGAAATAGATAAGTGGATTACTGAGTTGGGCTTTAGCAAGTGGGACATCATGATTGGGCTACCTGAAGACGTACGTTGGGCTTACGCAGGACGTAGTGCAACATTGGATGCGGGGGGCGGAGGTGCGTACGCATAACGTACCAAGGTGTATGTGCAACGTACGCAAGCAGACTCAAAACCCTAATTTTTAGGGTTTAAGCCATATATATACACCATTATGAATCAAACCCTAGCCTCCTTACCAGCCTCTCAACCTCAGAAACCCTAGATAGCCTTTCATTCCTCATCCTTGTGTTTTTTTGCCTTATGAAGTTCATTGTGGTGTTTAGAAGCTTGAAAGGAGAAAAAAGAAGTTGAAGAAGAAGAACTTGAATAGATTGAGCTTAAGGATCCGAGATAACATCACCATTTGGAACTCATTTGAGGTAAAAAGCTTTCAACTTGCCTCATGAATGCTTCGATCTATGTTAATGGAGTTTTGGACCTTTTTAGGTCCCAATAATGGATTTTTATGGTTCAACTTTGTATCTAAGCTTATAGTTGCCACCCTTAGTGCTATATGAGTCTCAATAACAGTAATTTTTTTATCTTTAAGGTCCTTTTGTGACCATGCATGAGTTCTAGTCATTTCCATGGAAGTTAGTTGCTATATTCCAAGTTTGGGTCCATTTGGTGGGTTGCAAGCCACCAAGTAATCGACTTTTTGGATTAAGACACTCTAGTGGACTCAGATTTGTGTTTAGAGCTTAAGGTCTTAAGGGATTAAGCCCTTTTGAAGTTTATGGCTTAATAGGGTAGTACGCTGGGCGTACAAGCCGGTACGCGCATCTTACAAGCCATCCAACATGTACGCTTAGCATACAGAGGAGTACCCCCTGCGTATTCACTGATTTTGGGCTTCACATCATATTGGGCCTCGGGTTGGGCCAATCTTTGGACTACTTAGCTTCTGGGCCTTAGTGGGCCATTAAGAGTCAGTTATTGGGCTAAGGACATGTTGGTCTTAGGGGAAGGCCCATTTGAGGAGTTGGGACCAATTTAGAAAATCGGGCCATTAGTGAGCTTGGAAAGATTAGATTAAATTGGGCCTATGATATGGTCCAAATTAAACCAGGGGTTAAAATGGTCGTTTTACCCTAAGAAGGATTATGGGATTTTGACTAAGGTGCTGTTTGTTTTGGAAGTGGTTAAATGTCTTTTGTCTTTTTCCAAGTTTGCGGAAGAAGACGTGCACTTGCGAAACGTCTACCCACCAGAAGGGAAAAGTGCTCAAAAAATACTTTTGTAGAAAAACAAACGAGGCACTGGGGAGTCGTTGGAGCAACCGTCAGAGATTCCTTACAGTGAGATTCCGCATTCAACTTTGCGATGTGAGTTTCCTCCTGTATGAACGAGTCGAAGGCACCATTGTCGGCCTGTATATATATGCTAGTATGTTCCGGGATTAGGTCCAATGAAGGTCAAGGCCCGATGTAGGTTTATATGTTTCCGAACTTCGGTTTGATGCCGGGGAAAGCCCAAGGAATGTTTGTATTCTTGATGTCTTTGTGATTCTTGCATGTGCTTGTTTTATATGTTTCCGGACTTCGGTCCGATGCCAGGGAAAGCCCAAGGAATGTTTATATGTTTCAGGATTTCGGTCCGATGTCGGGCAGGGCCAGAGGAAGTTTATAGAAACTCGGCTAGTTAGAGGAAAACTCGACGAGTTAGATCGCGATTTCACGATTTTGTGATTCATGGGAACTCGACGAGTTGCGTCAACTCGGAGCGTTGACTTTGACTTGAATTTGAATTTGACTTGACTAGAGTTGACCCTTAAGGGTTATGAGTATGGAATGGTATCTATGGGGTTGTTTTGGTACAGGGAGTGAGTAGAGCCGATTCCAGGCAGAGAAATTTCAGCTATCATCCGACAGTGAGGTGAGTTTCCTCCTGTATGAACGGGTCGATGGCACCAATGCCGACCCGTATATGTATGCTAGTATGTTCCACACCAATGTCTGATCTCGGATAGGGCCCGATGTAGGTTTATATGTTTTCGGATTCTGATCCGATGCCGGGCAGTACTCGAGGAATGTTTGTATGCTTAATGTCTTCGTGATTCTTGCATGTGGTTATTTTATATGCTTTTCGGATATTGGTCGGATGCCGGGCAATGCCTGAGGAATCTTAGTATGTTTCCGTATTTTGGTCCGATACCGGACGGGGGCCGAGGAATGTTTACATGTTTATGTTATGTGATT